TACTGCTATTTAATGTAGAGCTTTTCTTTCTACTAATGTAGCATTTGTGATGCCTGTTGAGCGTGAAGAACAAAGTCCAGTGCTTTGTAAAACCAGACTTGCTGGTACATTCTTATTCTCGGGTTTGGGAGTGAAAAGAAAGGAAGATCAGAAAATTAAGGTCAGAATCCTTGGTAGCTTTCAAGTTCAACCCTGTCAGGCCCCTCTGTCCTCTCTCCTCTCTGCCTATGGGTCAGGATATAATTCTCAGCTTCTCAGCTACTTCGCATGCTTATCCACTTCAGCCTATGTACTGCTTGCTATGTTTCCCACTATGATGCTAAGGGACTCCTTTGAAACTGTAATTAATTAAATGCTCTTTCGTTTTGTAATTGTTGCCATGACCTTGGTGTCTCTTTATAGCATTAAAACAGTGACTAAGACACTGGGACATATTAAAAAAACTCTTATCTCTAAAACAAAATAAGACAGCATTTAAAGAACAGTCTGAGAGGTATTTTTCAATAGGTAAAGGTGCCTTTAGTCAAACATGATATTCTAAGTTTGCTCATTGAGAATCACATGATATAAAAAGAGAACCAACCTCTGTAAGTTGTTCCCTAATACATGCTCCATGGCATGATTCCCCTACCATTTTCCCACACAATGAATTAATAAATGTAACATTTAAAAATATAATAGTATTTTTACAAAAATGAAATAAAATCTATTTACAAACACAATTAGAAAATGCATTATACTCATCTTTATATTTCTAATGATTGAAAAGTTTTCTTTATAAAATAAACAATTTTTATTGTTTAAATTAAAGTAAGTTTCAATTAGTGGACCTTATTTAAGAACTACCTGCTTGTTGATTGAGGAAAAAGCGAAGGCCCAATGATGAATGCAGGGAAAAAAGATGAGTATGATTCAAAATATCAAAACATGTTCCAAAGTTTTTAAGATAACTAATTTAAATTTTAAAAAATAGTAAATTTACTTAAAAAATCTTTGTATTACTACCTGTTCAAAGTCTACAGTGTGCAAACTGTGATATAGTTTGATCACTATTGCTCAACATCTCCATGGACACTGAAAATTCTACAACACATTTTAAGAAATAGTTTCTTTCCCAGTTAAGTAGCTCTCATTCTGCACCCCAGTCTCTTATTAGAACTCATATTTAACTTTAATTAGTATAATATTCATAATATTAATTCCCATTAATTATTTAATGGGAATTCCCATTAAATTAACTACAATGACACAGTAGTTCATCTTTCTTCACTTTGTCTACCATCAGCTGGAAATTGGAGGAAGAGTGTACTATCTTTACTGAAAAGATTCAAAGATTAATAAAAGTCACAATTACTTCTAAATCACCTTAAGAAAAAGAGAACCAACAAAGTTTTGTTCTCTGTAGTTCCATCCAAGGAATGATCCTATCTTTTGTGCGATTTTGAGGTTTCTGTGTGTTTTCCTGTACTGGTAATTTGCATTAATGGTATTCAGGAAGCCAATTTTTACAGCTCACTGATATAAGTTATAACAAAGTCTGCAGACACATGAGGACATATTCTCAGTAAGCTTTTGAAAATGTGCTGACACATTTTAGGAATGCATCTGTTTTTGCTTGCAAAAACTCACATTTATGCGTGCAACATGAAAAAAAAATGAATGCACAAACAGGTGGTTTTAAATACCCAAGCAGAATTTAAATGGAGTCACTAACAAATTTATTGAAGCCTGTTAAAGATCTCTCCAAAACTCATCATTAAACTATGGCAAGTGCCTTGGTACAATGACACTTGTTTCCTCTTTTCGCATTTGCATTAGTACTGAAAGGCTGAGGTCTGAAAGATAGACTCTCAACTTTCCAGATGATCAGTGAGAAACTGACAGAGCTGCATTATCTTCTTTATATGTTAATGCCAAGTATTGACTAAAAATAGCTCATAGTAATCTTAGAGAGTAAATGTATAAAATCCTGTATTTTGATTCCCAGTCTTTTAAGAAAATATAGAGATCTATGAAATAAGATATACTATAAGTTCATTGGCTCTTTAGTCACATTCATGTGCACATTTAACATGCAGATATGTGTAAGAGTTGTTTAAGTCTCCACCTACAGTTGGTCAATAGATATGCCAAAAGCTCATGATGGTTCCTATATCAGGTCACACTGCTACAAAAAGTGGATATTCAAATACATATTTTAAGATTTTTAGAGTAAGAAATAACTATAAAAAACCCTATGCCAGGGATAGGAATATGTATTTTAGAGATACAACCAATAAGTATAGATGTCATTAGAAAATATAGTTTAAGTCATATCTAAAAAATGTGCATCTAAATGGATAATTTAAAAGCAGGATAGCTTTAAGAATAGAGATATAAAGTATAATTGATGTGCGATTCCCCTCTGTATGCTGTGAATACCATTGATGAATAAAGAAACTGTTTTGGCCTGTTGATAGGGCAGGGTAGAGGTAGGTGGGGAAAACTAACTGAAGGCTGGGAGAACCTGTGGAAGACTTCCAGACTAATGTGATTTGATGGACCAAACCCCCTCCCAAAAAGGTTGTGGTGAACACACCCAAAAATTATTTAACCCAATGAAAAGCATGAACCAGTTTAGAGATCTACACCCAAAGTTCCTAAATTATTGATTATGTTTGTTTACATTTAAAAAGGGATATGCTATAGAGATTTTCATTGGTATGGAGCTTGGTTTATTGATAATACAAATTTAAGGTCAATTTTGTTATATGTATATATATATGCTCTTCTCTTGATTAAGATATTGCATTTGTACAGCTCATTTAAAAACATAATGCATAATTTAAAATATTGGTAAATATAGAGTCATATATAACAGTCAAATTTATAGTCATTTTATTAGATTTTCTACATGTACAGAATGTACTTCAGTTAGACAGGTATTCTGCAAATCTTTCAAAGACATTGTTTTACAGAAGCTCTTCAATTTAAGGAGATCCCAATTATTAATTGTTTCTCTCAGTGTCTATGCATCTGGGATTATATTTTGGAAGTAGTCTTCTGTGCTAATGAGTTCAAGTGTACTTCCTAATTTCACTTCTATAAGGTTCAGTGTGGTTGTCTTTATGCTGAGGTTTTTGATCCATTTAGACTTGAGTTTTGTGCGTGGTGATAGATATGGATCTATTTTCCTTCTTCTACATGTTGTTATCCAATTATGCCAGCACCATTTGTTAAATATGCTTTCTTTTTTTCCATTTGATATTTCTTGCTTCTTTGTCAAAAATCAGGTGTTCAAAGATGTGTGGATTAATATTCGTGTCTTTGATTTGGTTCCATTGGTCCTCCTTTCTGGTCTTATGCCAATAACAGGCTATTTCCAGTACTGTGTAGCTCTGTAGTAGAGTTTGAAATCAGTGACTGTGATGCTTCCAGAAGTTCTTGTACAGGATTGTTTTGGCTATGCTGGGTTTTTTGCTTTTCCATGTGAAGTCGAGTATCATTCTTTAGAGTTCTGTGAAGAATTCTGATGGGATTTAGATGGGCATTGCATTGAATCTGTAGAGTGCTTTTGGTAAAATTGCCATATTTACTATGTTAATTCTACTACACGAGAGCATGGGAGAACTTTCCACTTTCTGGTGTCTTCTTCAATTTCTTTCTTTAAAGATACAAAGTTACTGTCATACAAGTCATCCACTTGTTTAGTTACAGTTACTCTGAGACATTTTATGCTATTTGTGTTGTTTCCCTGATTTCTTTTGCAGCCCTTTTATCATCTGTATACGGGAGGGATACTGATTGTTTTCAAGTTAATCTTTTATTCTACTACATTACTGAAAGTGTTTATGAGTTGTAAAAGTTCCTTTGTATAATTTTAGGGATCTCTTATGTAAACTATCATATTATCAGCAAACAGTGAGAGTTTGACTTCTTATCTTATGATTTATATTCCTTTGATCTCCTTTTGGTGTCTTATTTCTCTAGCTAGGACTTGAAGAACCATATTGAATAGTTATGGAGAGAGTGGACAGCCTTGTCTTGTTCCTGATTTCAGTGGAATCACTGGGAGTTTCTCTCCATTTAGCTTGATGTTGGCTATTGCCTTGCTGAAACTGAAAAGCTTCTGAAAAGCAAAGGACACAGTCAACAAGACAAAATGACAGCCTATAGAATGAGAAAAAAATGTTCGCTAACCACAAATCAGACAGAGATCTCATCTCCAAAGTATACAAAAAACTCAAGAAATTGGTCATCAATACAACAAATAATCCAATAAAAAATGGAGTACAGACCTAAGCAGAGAACTCTCAAAAGAGGAATTTAAAATGGCTGAAAGACACTTAAGGAAATGTTCGACATCCTTTGTCATCAGAGAAATGCAAATTAAAGCAAGCCTGAGATTCCATCTCACACCTATAAGAATGGCCAAGATCAAAAACACTGATGACAACTTATGCTGAAGAGGTTGCGGAGTAAAGGGAACACTCCTGCATTGCTGGTAGGAATGCAAGCTGGTACAGACCCATTAGATTTCAGTGTGGCGATTTCTCAGAAAATTAGGAAACAATGTTCCTCAAGACCCAATAATACCACTTTTGGGTATATATCCACAAGGTGCTCAATCTTGACACAAGGACATGTGCTCAACTATTTTCATATCAGCAGTGTTTGTCATAGACAGAACCTGGAAACAACCTAAATGTCCCCAGACTGAAGAATGGATAAGGAAAATGGGGTGCATTTACATAGTGGAGTACTGCACAGCAGAAAAAAAGATGACATCTTGAATTTTGCAGGCAAATAGATGGAGCTAGAAAATATTATTTTAAGTGAGGTAATCCAGACACAGAAAGATAATTCTTATATGTACTCACTCATGGGTAGTTTTTTTTTTTTTTTTTTTTTTTTTTGCTTTACTTCCAGTTTATTGTCTATGCTGAGCTCACTGCGCTTCAGAAAACTGTGTGGGGGAGGACAAAGCAGATACCCCACCCTGCAGCCCCAGCAAGGAGTTCTAGCTTCCAAACCATTTTATTGAAATGTGTGCCAAGATATGTGGGCAGCACAAATGTATGAACAGGGAAAAATAAAAATCACACATACAGTTATCTTAAAAAGTGAAGGTTAATCTTGGGAGATACCAGTTCCCCTCCCCCCCTCCAGAGTTCCAGCATTTCTGTTGTGGTTAAGCGTCTACTGAACTAGCATTTAAAAAGGAAACAAGAACTGCAAAAAATAAATCGAAACAGAACAAAACCAAAGAAAACCAACAGCATAAAGGAAAGAGACGTCTTCCTGCTTGATGTGCTCTTCCCAACATCTAATTAGGAGGCGTGCTGTGCGGTGGAGAAGCACAGCTTCAGAGTATACGGATATTGGCCATTTGGGTTTTTCGTTTGGTAATGGTTCAGGAAGCCCAAGGTCTCCAGGGCGTCGCTCTTAGAGTCCCACTCCAGCAGTCCAGAAGAGCTGCGCTCGCTTTTGCCTGAAAATACTTTCACAGAGGTTGGCCGCTTCACTCCCAGCTCATCGCAGATCTCAAAGAAGTTCTCCTCAGTCACCTCCAGGGGAGCATTGAAGAAGTGCAGTACATAGCTAGGGTGCTGGATGCGGTTCTTGGCTGCCTGCTCTGGGGTGGAGAACCGATTGTTCCTTGACTCACTGAAGTCTTTGTAACTTCAGGACCCGTCTTCTAGCCCGTATGACTGCCCAGGCATAATGGCTGGTTGCTTGGAAACACAGACATTCATCTTCTGCCCAAACATGAAGTTGTTGTTAAGGTAAGTAATGGCTCGGTCCACAGCATAGCCATCAGCCATCTCCACCATGGCGGCCCCCGGCTTGCTTTTCGTAAATTTCACCTTCTCCACATTGCCATACAAGCAGAAGACATTGAAGACTCGCTCACAGTTCATCTTAGATTGATCCAAGCCATAGACCATGAGCACAGGGCTGTCAGCGTGGGGGCCATAGTCGGGTGGTGGGGGAGAGGGTGGGGGATGACCATACTGGGGGCCATAGCGACTTGGGCCCCGACGGTGCACACAGGTGGGCCCATCCTTCTCCCTTCGTAGTGAGGTGGGGGGGGCATAGCCCTCATCATGGTAATGGCTGTGGTACCCACCATGGGGCCCTCCATATTCTGTGGGATGATCTCCCAGTAGAGGGGGCTGCCGCTGGCGTTTGTTGGGATTACTGCCAGGGTCACCTTGTCCACTGAGGTTGGGGTTTGTGTAGTCCCAAGTATCCTGATCATTCTTGAACACATTTAAACGGGTAGGCTTTGCATACTCGATCTTCAGAGTGCAACAGCCAGAATAGATGTCAGCCCCATTAAGTGAGGCCTTAGCCCACTGGGCACTTTGCACAGAGTCAAATTCCACCATAGCCTGGACTCCATTCTTCCGAAAAATGACAATTCTCTGAACAGGGCCACAAGGATTACAGATAGTGTAAAGAACATCCGTGGTTATGGAGTAGATGGGGTTCAGGATGGTAAACAGAAGCACACTGTTGACGCTCCGGGAGTCATCCGAGTCCCCGGGGCGAGAGATCTTCTGGCTGGTAGAATAATTGACAAAAGCAGAATGATCAGCAATGTAGATCTGGTTGTCCGCTGCGTAGTTCACCGCATTACAAGCCCCCAGCACATCTTCAAACTCCACCAGCGCCTGTCTCTTCTTTGGCATCACCACCACATAGCTGATGGGTCCAAATTCTTGCAGGGCTTCCACAAGGTCAGCTTCCACCACACCATCAATCAGGCCCCTGATGTGGACAACTGGGGAGGCAGGGGTTTTTTGGGGGTCATCGTAGTTCTCCCCGCCGCCGCCGCCCGCCGCCCCGGATCCTCCGCCGCCGCCGCCTCCGTGCTGGTCGCCAGCGTTTTTCAGTCTTCAGTCGTTTAGGGGCTCGGCCTCCCTCGTTGCTGCCGCTGTAATAGCGACCAACGCCGCCTCTGCCGCCCGCCGCCGCCATCCTCACCATCGCTCCACCCCGCCTCAGCTGCTCGTCCGGCTGCTGCCTCTGCTCTGGGTAGTTTTTCTTAACATAAAGCAAAGAAAACCAGTCTACAAATCACAATCCCAGAGAACCTAGGCAACAATGAGGACACTAAGAGAAACATACATAGATCTAATTTACATGGGAAGTAGAAAACGACAAGATCTCCTGAGCAAATTGGGAGCATGGGGACCTGGGAGAAGGGTTAAAGGGAAGGAGAGAGGCAGAAATGGGAGAATAGAAAAATGTAGAGTTCGATAGAAATCAGTTTCAAAAGACTACAGAATATGTCATTTAAAATGTTTTAAGAACTTAGTACTTTTCAAGACAATGAGACACATCTGCTTCTGGTAGTACCAATCTACTCCAAGAGGATAATGGGCACCAAAGAAACTCCTTTGGAGTTTTTTAGCCATTTGTGCAAGAAACTGCTCTTGCTTGGACAGCTTGATGAACTGGATTTGCAGGACCCACAGAAAAATGACCTCTAAAGTTTCCTAAGCAAGGTTAGACAGTTCTTCAGGGTTCCTGCTTCATTAAAGAGTCTGCCAAATAGTCTGCAGAACACAGAAGAAAGTGACTAAAATCTGCCAACAAAGGCAGAACTGTCTTTGAAATTTCCTGCTTCATGGAAAATTCTGTTGGATACTGTGGGCTGGTAGGCTGAAGATGGATGCTCCAGTGATACAGAAGAACTTCGTGAGACTATCCAGGCAGTGGGATATCTCTTTCAATTCTAGAGTTTTGGAAGTTGCTTACAATGAACTTATTGTTTACTTAGGTAATATTATATCCTTTTGGAGTCTTTGACGGAGTTGAGGAATTGATAACTATAGTTTTCCTTCATTATGATAAAAGATAAAATAGATATAAATATTGTAACTATAATTCTTGCTTGATGACTGTTTTGTTGTATGTAATTGCATTATGTTAAAATTAAAACCTTCCTTATTATTTAAACAAAAGCGAGGTAAGGTGAAATTCCCATCTCTATGCTGTGAATACTGTAGGTGAATAAAGAAACTGCCTTGGCCTGTTGATAGAGTAGGGTAGAGCTAGATGGGGGAAACTAACCTGAATGCTGGGAGAAAGGAGGCAGAGTCAAGGGGAAGCCATGGAGCTGCCATCAGAGACAGATAAGCTAGAACCTTGCCGGTAGGTAAGATAAAATATAAAATGCTGGAAAGGGGTTAATACTAGATGTAAGAGCTAGCTAGCAGTACACTTAAGTGATTGACCAAGCAGTGATTTAAATAATATAGTTTCTGTGTGTTTATTTTGGGAGTCTGGATGGTTGGGAAAACAAACTAGTAGTTTCCTACAACATAGAATGAATATTTAAAATAATATACATTTAAAGACCTGACAAAAATGAGAAGAATGCAATTATATCTTAAAATTTCTAATTCAAATTATTTTAGAAATAGTAATGGCAGAGGTGAAGACACCTAGATAGTTTTGTGTTTGAGTTGTGCTGTAGATGAGCATAGCCAGAGCTGTGGGGAAATGAACTAGGGGATAAGAACTGTGGGGATATGAACTGTGGGGATATATAATGAATGTACACAATAGACAACTAAACATGGAAGGCTGAATAACAGAGACTTAACATTGTTCACTAGCATCCTCAAGTGGAAATATGTATTATAAAATCTTAGGTTTTTTGAAGTTTCAGATGCTCTATTTCCCACTGTATTAATTGGACTGAGAGGTAGAAAATACAGAGACTGAAGTTGAATTTCAAAATCCTTCCTGTATTTTAAGAAGCCTTTTAGATTTTCTGACATCAGTTGTGATGAGGTCTTTTGAGTATAGTACTGATGGATGAGAAAGAGGAAAAGACCTGTATTTGATTTTTAAAAAAAACAGCTTAAGTATTGCAAAAGAATAAATCTGATGAAGAAGATGAAAAAGAAATATAGGTGAGAAGATAATTCAACTTGTTTTCTTTCAAATGTGCGTTCTAACGTGCGATTCTTAGGTTTGGGTTAAGTTGGAGTGAGTGCTGTGGAAGATAAAAGACTAGGAGAAATCATGAATGGGGGGGGGGGGAAGGCAATAGACCAGAAGGCAGCAGAATACATCCAAATGAAAACAATGGATTACTGGAGTCTGAAATGTTTAAGAGAATAGAGGCAGGTGAATGAGAAAGAAAAGAGGATGGAGAGGTAGTTAACAGAAACTAAAACTAAGGATGCTTGAAAAAGAAAGATGAGAACAACTGCTTTTTAAGTTACTCAAATACTACATATAATGTTTTAACGGTGGTAGACATCATGGGTGAATAATGACGATCATGGAAGCTCTAAGATACTAAGTGTAAATCTCATGTCAGGGGTGGGAGTCTGCCTTAATTTATTTTTTATTGTTGTGATGGAGACCAAAAGCGTTTGCAGAGGAAAGAAATGATTTGACTTTCATATTGTATGTCACAGCAGGGCATTGAGGGGAAACAAGATAGAAACCTGGACAGGTTTCATGGGTCACGAAGGAATGCTGCTTACAAATGTATACTACATTGTGCTCAGACTACTTTATCATACCACTCAGGACCACTTGCCTAAGGATACACTGTTCTTTTCGCTTGGCCTCTTCCCCATCAGTAAGAAAATATCCTACAGACTTACCAACCAACCAATCTTACGGGGATGGTTTGCTCCATTGAGAGTACCTCTCCTCCAGTGAATCTATTGTGCCAAGTTGACATAAAACTAACCCCAGATACCTTCCTAGACATTGGTCAGAGAAGTCCTAAACATTCCCAAAAGAAAACAACAACAAACCCTCACAGGCTTTGATCACTGCTTTTAGTTTACCAACAGAACTAAATGGTATGAACCTATTGCTAAAACAGTCTCACACTTTGCTTACACGTTATAGAGAAAGTATGCTGAAATTGAGCTGGAAGCTTTCTCCCTATGGCCCAGCTTTGACAGTTCTGGGCATTGTTGGTTAGGCTAATAGGAGGGAAAAAGAAGCAATAGTCTTGGGGGTGAGTGGTGAGAAGGGGAGTATGGGGAGAGCTTTGGGGAATCAGATGGTTGTGATGGAGAAAGAGTACTTACTTCTTAATGAGATATGCTTGATATATGTTTATGATGTAAAGATATCACATAAAATGTGGTGTCGACAGTGTAAGTCAGAAGATAGAAAGAAGTGCTGTACATTGCTATTTTCTGGACATGGCATGACTATTCCTTTCAAACCCAAAGTACCTGTACTTACCTGCGCAAGACTGACCCATTAACATCCCTCAAGCTATGGAGCAGTAGGCAGTTGGTAGCTAAAGGTGTAGGGTGAGAAATTTTCTCTTTTAGATTGGCTTTGTTCAGTTTCCCAAACTCCAGCAAATAAACTCCCACCCATGCTTAAAAAAGATAACCTAAATCCAAATCAGTTTCTTTCTTTCTCTCTTTCTTTCTTTCTTTCTTTCTTTCTTTCTTTCTTTCTTTCTTTCTCTCTCTCTCTCTCTCTCTCTCTCTCTCTCTCACACACACACACACACACACATACATGCACAGACACACAAAATATCATAATTAACAGTAACTAATAGGGATGAAGGAGTTCAGGAGGAAGGAAATGAGAAGTCATATGATAGTGAATATGATCAAAATAAATTATGTACAAGTTTCATAAAAATAACTAATTACAAACAAAAGTTAAGGGTAGATAGTTGATTCAGGGGTTAAGGTGCTTAACATACAAACCTGACAACCTGAGGTCAATCCCCCAAACACATAGTGGAAGGAGAGACTGTAAACAGAGAATGAACTTTAGTTTCCAAGCCACCCTAATCAAAATAATCATAAAAATATATATATTAAACGTAATAGTTTGGCCAGTGGCTCAGGTATATCTCTAGCTAGCTTTTATATCTTAAAAGAACCCATTTCTATGTTGGTCTGTTTGTTGCCATGAATGTGGCTAACCTGTAAGGTTCTGGCAAATTTTCTCTTTCAGCAACTGCATGGTGTCTGACTAATTTTACCTTCTTTCCTCCTCTATCTCAGCTTGGATTTCCCACCTTGCTATATTCTGTCTCGACGTAGGTCAAAGCAGCTTCTTTATTAACTGATGTTAATACAACATATTCACAACATACAGAGGGGAATCCCACATCAGAGAACTGATTCCTAACCTCTGTTCCCCTAAAATGGAATGTGCAATTGTACACATATACAAAATTATAATAGCAAATCCAAAAACAACATTTACAAAGCTAATTAGAATTTAGTAAATGTCTCATATTCACTGGCTTTATGAGCTGACTCATGCACTAACTTCTGCATTCTAGGGATGCAGAAGTTAGTTTAAAGCATGTACTGGAGCAGATTGAGTGGTCATAGGAAGAGGAATAAATATTTGTGCCAATTTTGCTTTCAAAAGTTAGTTCAAAGTGTTAGCCATCATAGTTCCTCCCTCTGGCTCAAAGGAGCAGTGAGTGCATGTGAACACACATGTGTTCACATGCACATATGGGCACACACACATACAAAGAACAAAGAAGATGTAGAGGTCCAGGACACATCTTTTAACATTAGGTACCTTCTTTTCATAGTGTCTAATGGAGTGATAGCAAAAAAAAAAAAAAAAAAAAAAAAGCCCAGTAATATAGCTTTACAGAAGAAATGAGTAAAACTCGCTCTTCTCTGGCATTAACCTATGCAAATGTTTACTAAAAGTATAATTTGGCTCTTGAAGAAGTTAGTATTCCTCAATTATTTCATACCTACTCTTGTTGTAGAAGACCACTTGTTTGTTCCCTGCTGCCCAGACTCAAAATAACCACACAGAAACTATATTATTTAAATCACTGCTTGGTCAATCACTGAAGCATATTGCTAGCTAACTCATGTATCTAACCCATTTCTATTAATCTGTGTATCTCCACATGGCTGTGGCTTACCGGGTAAAGTTTTGACGGTCACCAGGCATCTGTCTCTGAGGGACTACGTGTTTTCACACTGACTCTGCCTACTCTTTCTATGTATCTTTTTCAACCTGGCTATATTCTGTTACAC